AATATGGCCGAATTTTAAAAACAAAAATAAACTTAGTCACGGATGTGTCCATGACTAAGATAAAAAAATTTAAATAAAACTTAATCACGAATCTGATCCGTGACTAATGTGCCGGAGCAGCTATTCCGGTCAAGAATTAGTCACGGATCTGGTCCGTGACTAATCTGTGACTACACTTAGTCACGGATAAATTGTAGTGACTACATTTAGTCACGCCCGATTAGTCGCAGATTTAGTCACGGACAAAATCCGTAACTAATGGAGTTAGTCACGGATTTTTTACACTGCGGTCCGTGACTACAGCCCTATTTTTTGTAATGTCAATTTGTTAATCTGTATAAGATTTACAAAGTGTATGCGATTAACACAATTGTCAAGCCAACATAGAAGAAGAAAATCTAGATAATGGTTTATGGATGTTATTTTTTTGACTGCTTTCAATTTCAAATCATATCAGATTAGATCAAACCAGACTTAGACAATCACTACAGATCAGATCAAATTATATGAAATTAAAATATACAAAGACCAAACATCTATCATATCAGTTCAGACCAAACCAAACTTAAACAGATCAGATCAAACTTAAATAGATCAGACTAGAACAACAAATTTCAGTCCAAATAAACCTCCTAATATTGCAAAAACTTTGCACAATTCTGTGATAAAATGGTATGACACATACTTTAGAGTGTTTAAACTTTAAATTGCCGAATTGAAAGGAAAGGTTTAACATTGGCAGATTGCCCAATAAGGAGACCTTTTGCGTGTTCAATAGGAATTGAACTCTTCTCAAGTGACCAGAAATTCCAGTAGGAGAGAAAATGAGATAGATGAGAAGGTTAGTGTGGTAAGGAAAAATAAAAGGTGGGGTGGGGTTAGTGATTTGTTGGAGAGAGAAAAAGAAATGGAGAGGGAAATGGAGAAAAAGAAATGGAGAGGGAAATGGAGCAAAATAAATGGAGAGGGGTATAAGTTTCTAATCCTTACTTTTTATTTTTGTACTCCCTTCTAGGCCTGGACTCGGGCCGGTTCGGGCCCGGTTCGGGCCTGGGCCCGGCCAGGCCTCGGGCCAGGAAAGGGGAGGCCCGAGCCCGAACCGCCGGTGGCCGGTTCCGGTTCCGGTTCCAGTTCCGGGCCAAACCGGGCTGGGCCGGGCCGGGCCAAACCGGTCCAATTAATTTTTTTTGGGTTCTCCTATTTAATCCCCTACCCCTCCCCCTCAACCCCAAACCACCTCAAATGGCTTAAAATACCTATTCCAACCCAAAACTTTAAAAAAATTTCAAAAAAAAAAAATTAAATCCGGCCCGGACCGGGCCTGAACCGGCCGGGCCGGTTCACCATATGGAAGGCCCGGGCCGGAACCGGGAACCACCGGGCTGGTTCGACCCGAACCGCCGGTGGACCGGGCCACCGGGCCGGGCCGGTTGCTACAGTGGCCGGGCCGGGCCGGGCCGGTTCCGGGTCGGGCCGCCCGGCCCGAGTCCAGGCCTACTCCCTTCGGATCTTTTTAAACTTCACAATTTGACTTCACGTTGATTAAGCAAATAAATTTGACTTTACTGTAGAGTACACTGTTGAGACACTGTTTGGCACTGTTTAACACTGTTTTGATGTAGATTTCTTTGCCAAATAAGGAAATAAGGAAGTGTGAAGTTTATTTTGGACCGTCCGAAAAAGGAAAGTGTGAAGTTTAAAAAGAACCGGAGGGAGTATAATTCAAACAACACCCCAAAAAATTAAGGTGTATGTTTGGCATAACACTTTTATGAGTTGTTTTGAAATTTTAACTTTTTTTAGAAGCTACTAAGAGTAACTTCTGAGAGTAGTTTAATATTAATTAGTCATAACAATTTACTATACCAATTAGAACAACATCAATAATAAAAAAAACTACAATCTTTCCTTTTAACATCTTTCTAATTATTAAAAACTAAACATCCATGTTAACTGACTCCAAAATCTTTTGGGAACAAGTTTGGATGTTGTTGTGATTGTAGTAAAAACTAAAGAACTTACTCAAAGTGAGAGTAAATATGTTTTGGAATTTTAAAATAGAAGCGATGTGTTTCATGATTTCAAGTCAAACTGAGCAATTCCACATTCTTGAACATTGGGTTAGTATGACTTTGGAAGTTAGGCTCTTGGAAGATACCAACCTCGATTACGGGACAGAACTGGACTAGGACTAACCAGTTATCCCCCTTGGAATGTTCTTTAGGATTGAACTACTCAAAAACGGGAAGACCCAATATGCCATTCCAGTTGCAGTTCATAGATATTCGGACCTAACTGACCAATTCAAGTCCCACGCGCATTTTCATTTAAGAAATTTTGCCGCTATGGTTTTTGTTAAGGCTTTGCCAATTTGGGAACAAAACCCGCGTGTCTGAAACTGGACTATACCATTCCATCCTAAGTTCCTAACTGTGAGGAAACCGGCCAAATAGATTTATTTACACTCATTATTATGAATTTGATGTAAAATAAATGAAGTAATGCATTTTGACCCCTGCATTCAAGTTTTTGTTGTAACCAATCTCCAAGGCTATTATATATTCCATGTAGGGATGGATCCGGTCGTGGTTTCGAGCTAAGACCACCCAATCCTTTTAAAAAAAATTGTCAATCCCAAGACACTACAAAAAAATTCGGCTATAGTCACGGATTTAGTCACGGACCACAGTGTAAAAAATCCGTGACTAACTCATTTAGTCACGGATTCTGTCCGTGACTAATTCATTTTGTTCAAATCTGCATTTGGCAATCCTATGAAAAAAAGTAAATCAACTCCGGTTAATGAACAAAGCTCGATCAACGAGCTTTCTTTGTATCTAACATTTCCTGTTGATTATGAAGAAGGGGATGACTTTGACGTTCTTCAGTGGTGGAAGGAAAAAGAGAGAACGTTCCCGATCTTATCAAAGATGGCTAAGCAAGTGCTAGCAATGCCGGTATCAACAGTTGCTGTGGAACAAGAGTTTAGTGCGGCCGGCAACGTCCTAACGGATTATAGAACGAGATTAAGCGCAAACTCTCTTGAGACGCTTGTTTGTTTCCACGATTGGTTGAAGGCCAAACGTAGAACTCAAGAAATCAGCATTGAACCCACTCGCCACTTTATGGAAGAAACAACTGAAGATGGAGGAAATTCTAATTGATTCATACTTAATTACTTATTACAAAGTGTATTTCATGTCTTTATTTTTGCCCCATTTTCAATTGTACTACAAATATGAAATAAATATGTTTTTACCTTTTTTATATCCAAGTAATCTTAATTTGGTATGTAAAAAAAAAAACCCCGGCCCGGCCCGGCCCGTACCCGCCCGGGTCGACCCGACACGAACCGGACCCGGTATCAACCCGGGCCGGTTCCGGGCCAAACATTCTCCAAAAAAAGCCCGCCCGGGCCCGGCCCGGAACCGGAACCGGCCCGGCCCGGGTCCATCCCTAGGATTACTTTATAGAGTTAGGTGGGGAGGAATGCTCTTCTTCCCGCCGGTGTGGGAAACTTGAATGGGAGAGAAAAAACAAATTTTTTAAAATATAAAGTCTAAGGTAATGGGGCAAGGTTTTGGACACGATAATTTCGTATGAAGTAGTCAAGTAGTCCACTGCTCTGATCAATGCTTTATTTTGAAATTGTGGATTTTTTTTGTAACTAAATTGTGGATTATTATTATTTTAAAGCTTTAATTTATTATTATTATTATTATTATTATTATTATTATTATTATTATAAACTCAATATAAATACGCTAAACATCTACTATGTACTATGTATTACATAGTATTATCAATACTATGTACATTAAGATCAATTCTAATTGATGTAATTATTGTTATTATTACGTATTATATTATCGTTATTATTATATACTCCGTATACTATTGTTATTATTGTATTTTATTAGTAAAATTTGAATGTATTATAGTCACTGAAAATTATAGAATTACATTTATTTCACTATCCTTATTTTATCCATTTATTTAGCATTTTAAATTAACATACATAAAGTTAGTGGCAATCATTTATATTTTATAAAGCCTATAGCACTTTAGCATGAGGTTTGCTTATAATAGACATGTGAAGAATACATACGGGTGTAGTAATCTTGAAATAAAATAGGTACTCTAAATTGATAGTAGTCAAGAAAAGGCTATTCATTTTATTTTTTATAATACATGACATTAACTTAAAGGTAGGTATTTAAACTAGTACATATACCCAAATTTCTCTTTATTTATTAGGTATTATTTCTTTTTATCAATAACTTATCATTCAACTACTTTTTTCAATTCTAGTTTTTGAGTAATTGATCGGTTTATGTTTGTTACATTTAGAACTCCAAGGGTATTTTTTGTTGCAACTTGCAAATTAGAAAAGTATGATGTTCATGATTAACATTATTTAATTATAAATACAAATATTTGAAACTATTTCTAGAAAAATTAAAATAAATGATTAAAAATAAAACGCCTTTTCATGCCTTAATCCCGCCTAAACCCGCCTAGGCTCCAAAGGCTTAAGGCTCACCCGTGCTGCCTCGGCACACTTTACGCCTTTTAGAACATTGGCTACAACTGATTACCTTTCCATAATTTGACTCTATTGATTCTTTTTTAAGAGTTGTTGAACTTATAAGATTGTTTTTTTAGTAGATTATGTTGAGTGATGTTTTATGATTGTAGAAGGGTCTATATGACCTTTTTCCCTTTTTTTAATTAATGTTTTGCCTAGTTCCAACCATATAAAAATATACCACTAGGTCCTGGTATTGTTGAACCAGAACCTGGTACACCATACACCCGGTAGGATAACCAGTCTTCGCCCAAAACCGGAAAAATGGAGCCGATCCGGTCTCGCACAATACCAAACCCGGTTCTAGAGAATCTAGACCAGGTCCATGCCTAGTTCCAAGCACCATTCACTTTTATAATACCATCTAGTCGATTTTGGGGGTGTTTGTAATTAATTCTACTATTGCTGCTTTTTTTAAAGTAGAAGCTGAATCAAAATTAGTTTTCAAAAGTTGATCTCCCTCAGCTTTTAAAAAAAACTACTTCTAAGAATAAATTAGAGCATCATAAATACTTCTTCACTTTCACCCAAACACTCCAACTTCTGTTTCTGCTCCTTCAGAAAGCAAAAGCAGTTTTAAGAATTAGATCCAAACACCCACATAGTATATTCCATGGTGCTACAAATGACGTTATGTTGATCCTACAACTTCATAAATAAAAATGTTGCCTTTTCTATAGCTTGAAATGTGAATGCAGAACGCTCCAGAAGTCTAGAACAACCTCCAAAATAACCAAGCAAAACATCTTTAATCTGTAATAAAAAAACCTAGTTTTCTGCTCTAAACTGGAGGGTTTGAAGATGAATATCTCGTGTCCATTTGCATTACCTGGCAAACTTGTAGCTCTGGAAAAGGGAAATCACTAAACTTATATTCCACACTAATGTTTAATTTAGAATAATTCAGTGATCCAAATTGAGATAACATACCTTAACCCTCTTAAGAAGTTCCTTTGCATTGACATCATTCTTGAAATGATCACGCACAGGCTGTGCAAAGCACATGAAAGATGGTTAAGAAAATATATATTCCTAAATGTAGGCCTGTTGTTTTCTCACTTCTAATGAAAATACTAAACCAAATTCTTATAAGGCACCTAACTTAGTCTCCATATTCCAAGTACACATCAAATGTTTGAAAAGATGCTAAAAATGTAACATTATGTTTGGATCTGGGAAAATGCTAGGGAAAGGAAAGAAAATGCTAAAGCATGTTATTTCTGTATACTTGGATTACCTCAGGAAAAGCAGAGGAAGATATTACAACTCCATAAGGGTGACTCCATTCATATACGGATAGAAAGATAGCTCACAAGGTAATAAAATTGTAAAACTATACATGTCAGTACCATTTATAATGCCACTATCAACGGTGCCAATGCAGTGTACACTGCCGATGTCACTGCCACTATCACTACTGCCACTGTCGAACACATCAGTGCGACTAAGGCAACAAATTCCAATGACTTTTATGATGATTTGTGATAGGGACTTAACTAATCTGAAAAGAGGAGATATATACTTTAGTAAAGTGTACTCTAGGAGGAAGTAGGGTCGGTTGGTTGTTGAGTTTGTTGTGAGCTAATAACTACTTGCTGTTATACTTCCTTACTATAAATAGCATACGGCTGGTTGTTGTAGGGAGGCTGTTTTTGACTTGTAGCTTGTATTTGGGAAGGTCAGAGTTGTATCTCTACCTTTGGGGGCCTTCGGCCATTGTTGCCTTTGTGAATAAAAGTTGCCTTTGTAGTTCTTGATCAATTCGGAGATCTGTTTGTGGAATCTGGTTTGTTCTAACAATTTGTCAGAACGTTTTCAGTAAACTGTCCGCATAGCCGGCAGCGGTTTCACAGACTTGCCCCAACAACTTTTTCAGGTGATTTAAAAAAATGACAAGAATCGGGCAGATTAGTGCTAGTAAAAAAATAATACAACCTCCGTCCCATATTGGTTGTCTGTTGTATTTTGGCACGATTATTAATAAAGTGGTGTAAAAGTAAAGTTGTGGTTGAGATTTGAGTAGAATAAAGCCAAAGGATAACCCAGTTCTGTTGTACCAAAATGTTTATTGTGTTGGTGAAGCTCCAATGAATGAAACAGCTCAACATTTTATAAACAAGTCAATAGACGGTATTACAGATATGCAAATCAGTTATAAGTTAGTTTCAGAGAAAGAGAGCTTATTAGCTGATGAAATTGTTCTATCTGATGGTTCCTCACAAGTACTTACAAAAGATAATTTTCCTGAGACCACTACAGATGATGAGGTAATTAGATTTGTTTTTTGCGAGGTAGTAAGATATTGTGAAGGCTTTGTGAAAAACTCAGCAAATTCCTCGGTTGCTGTGTGCGTGGGTAAGCCCACTCTTGCGGTGCTGCAAGTTCACGTGCCATCATCTGTTCATGTTGCCAAACTCCTTGTTGAACCACCGCCTTGTCATGGAGAAACTGTGTCCATGGTAGGGTTGAATAAGTGCCAGCTGACAACATCCAGGAAGTCAATTGTCACTAATGTTAGTGTTTCTTTGACTATTCTGTTGTGTGGTTGTCCAAACTATATAGCAACAGACATGGAAGTTTTAAAGCAAACTGAAGGATTAACCCTCCAAGGTGATGACAGCACTGAGATTCAGGAATTACTTATATGGCATGAAAATCCTAAGGTAAAGAACATGAAGATGATGGATCATGTATTGAAGCTAAAGGTCCAAAAAGCAGTGATGTACTGGGAAGGGAGAGGCACCAAGATAAAGTTGAAATACGGGGATGTTTCCTGTCACGCACCTTGCGGACAAGGTGGTTGTTCAAGGGGGGAGACCAGAATAGCCAATAATAATAAGAATAATACAACTATATTAAATATGTACAAAGAGGGTTCTGGCCCAGGTAAAAGTTAACTTTGGGCTGGCCCATGATGGAAATTTTATAAATAAGAGTAGGGAGTAGAATAAAGGCGGGCAGAAATTAGTTGGAATTAGGATCAGGGAGAGTGAGGCCTCTCGAAAAGCCTCGTCTGTCTTTTCTTCCTCCCCGTTTCTGCACTCCTCCTCACTAATCTACGTTAAATTACTGTTACGAATTTGGAGTTCCCATCAGGGGCTATAAAAAATCCATGGGGCAGCTTCGAGCAATTTTGTAGATGTTAGAGGGACAATAAACTATAATAAACTTGATGAGCTTTTGAAGTTAGTCGCATTTTTTAAAAGCAAAACTAGTTACATTTATGTCATTAAAAAGGGTAGAAGTCATACTCCTCCATCTCTTGAACAAATATTATACATTTATACGTGAGTATATATTTATTGAGTTTGAAATAATATTGCATTTTTTTAACACTTTCTTCCCTTCCAAAAATATCTAATATTTTCCTAGCTATTTCTTTCCCAAATATTTCCAAACAGTGGTAAAAACGTGTGTACCTGCAGGATCTTGTTCAGAGCTTTTGAGAGAGCAGGTTTAAGGTCAGCAGGATGCAAGCTACCACATTCATAGTCAGTAACAAGTTCCTCAAATACCGAGAAGGTCCTGCAGGTGAATAATAGTTAATAATAACAAGATATGCGATGGAGAACGGGTGATAATCACTTCTCATACAGTTTTAACTGGACCAGCAGAGCAAGCTTTTCAAATATTAATGAAAATTAAGCTGAAGTAAAGTACTATTAAGGGGGTGTTTGGAAATGATTCTGCTTCTGCTTCTTTTTTAAAGCAGAAGCAGATTCAGAATCAGTTTTCAGAAGCTGGTCTCCCGCAGCTTCTAAAAAAAAACTGATTCTAGGAGTAAATTAGAGCACCAGAGTCACTTTTGTACTTTCACCCAAACACTCCAACTTCTGCTTCTGCTTCGTGAAGGAGCAGCAACAGTTTTATGAATCAGATCCAAACACCCCCTAAGTTGAAACCTAAAACACTTTCAATGGCAAAACAACCAACATGTCTTACTTGTTACCCCCATTCTCTAGACTTCGCTCCACCTCGAACTCATTAAACCAAGGAAAGATGATGTACTTGATGTATTCTAGACACGGATTTTTCTCTACAACCTTGGGTGGGCAGAAAGCCTTCTTTATTTTGAGATTCACGTCTGCCTACAACATCAAAGAAAAAAAAAAGTGTCTGTTATGAGTAGTCAATGACACCCAACTATGTTGATAGAATAAATGGCATCCACTATGCACTACCTCTTCATCATCCATGAAAATGGAGGATGACGGATTACTTTTGGACATCTTCTCTTGTCCCTCCTGCAAGCCAGGCAACATGTCTGCATGCCAGAATATCAGTTAAAGGAAAAAATAAAGCTCCCAAACAAATTCCACATTTAAAAAAATGTTACTATTCTGGTCCCAAGAAATATCAATTTATACAGGCACAAAATTCAAGAAAATGAAAACTGCATTCATAAAAGGGGGGAAAATCGTCTGAACAACATATTTAATTGGAGAAGAGAAAATGAGGGATAATTTTGGACATGCAGGAAAAAGAATGTGAAAGTCTTTAGGGACAGAGGATGTATTGATTTTGAATTTGAAAAAAAGGATGTAGAAGTATACGATGAGACAAACTGATGGGCTTGTTTTTCCTCTTTATATCTTCACAGTATTCTCTTGCAAGTACATTCACTTCTCGCTGGTCCATTCCCAGTTGACAGATATCAGCCTGCTAGGAAAAGGGCATGCAGTTGGTTGCACACACAATATATTCAAGGATGTATGCATTTAAATGTAAAATCGAGACATTCATGCGAGTGTTCTGTCCATAAAAAGGGCAGCCGGGTGCACGAAGTCACTCTCGCAAGGCGAGGGTCCGGGGAAGGGTCCGACCACAGGGGTGTATAAGGGGCAAACCTTCCCCTGTCAAATCTTTTCCAAGACTTGAACCCGCACATCAGCACCTTGGCGTACAGTTTAAGTCCGAAATTTAACACACATGGTACTAGTCTTTAATACGAAAATGACCTGACTATAGGGAAGTTGCATCCAAATACACTAACACATGTCCAGATCGAATAAATAAATGAATAAATGAATGAATCGATGAATCGATGATCGATGATCGAACGAACGAACAAATAAATAAATAAATAAATAAATAAATAAATAAATAAATAAATAAATAAATAAATAAATAAATAAATAAATAAATAAATAAATAAATAAATAAATAAATAAATAAATAAATAAATAAATAAATAAATAAATAAATAAATAAATAAATAAATAAATAAATAAATAAATATGAGCTGTAATAGCAATAGAACAGAGAAATATTTAACAATTTTCAGCATTATCAGTATTCATGCCATGTCTAGCACCAACTCTTTAACTACACGTCTATTGGTCTACTGTCTCAACTCTCAATACACTATGAATGGTTTGAGGCAGGGTAGTTAAAAGCAAGCGCCTGAGTGCTTAAGAGCACCAGGTGAGGCGCAACCAAAGTTGTGCACTTTAAGAGTTTCTCGATGTAGCAACCTGTCAGGCACAGAAAACACGCACGAAGTGCACATTGCAAAGGCACATGCTCAATGCCCCTAGGTCAGAAGGATTACGGTATGGTGTAAGCTACACACATATATGGCCAAATGACACATTGACTATTTAGGTATGGCACATTGCACATATATGATATATAAGGGTAATTTTCATAGATGTAGGAAATATGCAAACTATCATGGTGATCAAAATATATGAATAAATAAATAACTTTTGTTATACAAATTCAGGCAAAAGATAATTGACTTTAACATCAACAAAGATTACCTCGAGGAAAAATATGTCTGCGCACTGCATGCATGGGTAGAATATTTGGGCAGCAGTCGATACATCGAATATCTGGGCAGCAGTCAATTCATCTTGTGCATAGCAGCGACCCATAATTTCACAGCAACTGACAATTACAAGGAGGGAGAAATCGAGACATTTTGCAGCGACAGTTTTCCTTTTAAAGGGAGGAGATGAATGTTCACTACTAACCTCAATATTCTATGTAGCGTTTTTCTCCGTGCAATGTCCATAACAAGTGGCCAGTACTCATCAGCTCTAGAAATTATCTCTTTGGAGGCCCATAAAAACTCAATTTTGTTACTCTCCAGATTCATTCCCACAGCTTTCCATATCTCAATCAGATACTGACCAACAACTTGAATTTTCTTCAAGTCCGCGCCCATCTTGTTGTTTAGTAGAGCAAACCAATCCGCAATCCAAATCTTTACTTTACAGCCCGAAGATACCAACTTGTTAACATTAATTGTCTTCATAACACCCTGTTCATGGAGGATTTGATGTTGATGTGATGAGAATAATGTCCAGAGAAAGGCACACACAACCGCACATCCAACCACACTTCATTGATGATCTAGATATTATTGCTTTTTACTGATGATCTTTCAAACCCAATGTTCAAAATCCACTGGGGACCAGTAGGCAGTGGACCAGTGCCTACGACTTTTTGTGGAGCCCGGATGGCTAGATGCTGCCTAGAATCAAAGCCTATTTGAAGTAATTTTTTATTTGAAGTCTTAGTATAATCAATTTAAATATATTAAAAATTCAAATAAAGTAACATATGGGGCCTATTCTTTTTTAAGCCATCCAAAAATGGGGCCTTTCTTTTTTAAGCCATCCAAAAATGTTTATACCATGCCAAATTTTGCCAAATTAAAGTAGGCTTTAATTAAGAAAAAAGTTAAAACGAGAAATTCAGTGCCACAATTGTAAGGACTGAATAGGCTTTTTTCAGCCTTTTTTTCTTAATTAAAGAAAAAACGGGGCCTTTCTTTTTAAAGCCTTTTTTTCAGGCTTTAATTAAGAAAAAAAGTTAAAATGAGAAATTCAGCCTTTTTTCTTAATTAAAGACTAAATGGGGCCTTTCTTTTTTAAGCCATCCAAAAATGTTTATACCATGCCAAATTTGGCCATGGTTTGTGGCTTGATCATGCTCACATTTACAGATTCAATATCAACCACAATATCCAACTATTCCTCAATATTTGTGCCAAACTCCATGTCCCAAACTAAATGGGACGGAGGTGGTATTTTCATACATTCTTTTTTTTATTTACAAAAAAGGGATTTTATTCTTTTCACATTTAGTGTCAGATATTTTTAGTGAGCCTGGCTAGTAGTTATTAGTTAGAGGCTGTTGTCAACCCCTATAGACTTGCCCCTTAAATAGTTAAATCTATTCTTATTGTTTAGACTAGACGTATCCTTATCAAATTCCCAAGCCAAAAAATAGTGAGCATTTGGCTCCATTGCAAATGATGGGAGAAAACCTGGTTCCTACTCTCAAGGCAAGCAGCACTCCTACTCTCATTTGCAGCAGATAGGGTGAAGAATTATTCTCAAATCTTAAATTCATGAAGATCAAAAGATTCACGACTGAAGGATAAATCGAATAAAGATTATCGTTTTAATAATAATACCCCGGTTTGTATAATAGGATTTACTCTAGATTAGGGCTTGTTTATTTTGAATTAAGGCTTAGTTTCTTTCAAAAAGATGCAAGAAACCAAATATTCCAACATGGAGACGGTTGCCTTTTTCATCCTATGCGCATATGATGTCATGTGCTAATTGGGCATTGACAAATTTAAAATGACCATACCTTACGACTGAAATCATTTTGACTAGATATCTACACACAGATATAATAACTACAACTTTACTAATATTAGAGCTACTGAAAAACAGATTTTGTATCTATATTATATAGTAAAACGGAAAAGTGCAGAGGAGGATTTGGGGGAGAATGGGCGGGAAAAATCGTAGCATAAAAATGCAATGGGGTAGGGGCGGTATATTAATTGCAGCCTAGAATAATGAACTCCAACTATTGAAATTCTTAAAACACAGCAATTATTGTGTTTGGAGACTGTCTAGCTTCTCCGTATTGTGTTTCTCCAGTGAGCCATTGTTGCTGCCAATTCAGCCGTTGCATTCCAATGCATTGTCCCTTATTAAAGTTATTATGATATTATATTATATATTGAATGGTACTTCGTATTTACAATTTTTTTTAAAGTGTGGTCCCAATAAAGGATGGTTGCTTTTGGAATTCGGTTATTACTACTCCCTCCGTTCTTTAATATAAGTCCTCTTAGGCTTTGGCACGGGTTTTAAGAGGAAAATAGTAGGGGTAGTGTAAAAGGTATAATGAGTAGTGGGTAAATGAAAAAGTAGGAAAGAGAAAGGGGTAATGGTAATAAAAGTGGGGGTATAAAGGTATATTTAAAGTAAAAACTTTCCTTAAATGGAAAGGAGGACAAATAAAAAAAAACGTCCCAAAAAGGAAAGAAGGACTTATATTAAAGAACGGAGGGAGTAATACTTATTATTACGACATAGTGCACTAGAGTGTAATTAAAAGAACATATTTCATTTAATATTTTGTGCTATTTTATTTTATGCGCATGTTGTGCTTCCCAAAACCAAATGAATTGTGGTTGGCGGAATGGCGGGGCTCAAGTAGGATATTTCTATATAAATAAACCTATATATAAACATCAAATGAGACTTAATCACGCCAAAACCAGTACAGGCAATCCGGCATCGATCCTTTATCTGTAAAATGAAAACATGCAGCTTAATGTAATTCATCTCTTAAAGAGGTGAGTGCTATGAATTAATCAAATTCATTTTATCACATATTATTCATTTATTTTTCTTTTATTTCTTTTATACTCACCGCCTTCAGAAATGCAATGAAACGAATGTTGAAACCTACATTCTTTGATTCTCATTTCAACAAAAATGGAATATGCTTCAAACGGATTAGAAATTTGGGATGCTATATGGTCACCCAATCAACCATAATTTGAAGGTAGTGTTCTTCTATTCTCTATAATTGACGATTACTTTGATGACTACCCTTAATTTCTAGATATAGCAGTTTAATAAACAGTTTTCAAAGTATTCCAAAAATGATTATTAATAAAGCACTTATTGTATATATTTGTTTATTTATCTTTGGACTCGATAGGTTATCTACTATATTTATATTTGTATATTCAACCTAGCCTGCGCCCATTTAAAGTTCTGAGCGTTGAAATTCAGAGTACTTTTATAATTAATAAGTGGAGTTGAAATTGTAAAAAGAAACTCTTCTTGGAGTAATTTGATTAGTTTTTTGTATTTAATTTGAAATTTTGGTCTAAATCATAATTATTTTACTTCAGTGTTTTTTAAATTTAAGTGATACAGGTATGACCGCGCTCAAGTTTGTAGTTGTGAGAAAATGAATGTCAAGGTATTGTTATGTAGTATCTTATGCACTGTTCATCACTTCATTTTTTGATTAGCAAGGATTTCTTAACTTTTAGCCATGTAAGGGTAACACTAAGTAGAGTCCCCAAAATATTGATTATTCTCATTTCAGACGTATGATTAGGTTTTGCATTTATATAATTTTAAAAAGAGGCTCAAGTGTATACATTTTTTTATAGGTTCTTTACTCTATTCCGTTGACACAAAACCAAAATTTTAACATCCATGCACATACTTCCTATACATAATTTGCAACTAATATATGTATTCTAACAAATTAAAATATCAAGAATGTCTTAAACTATCGTTTTAGTTTTTTTTTTACACAACTATCGTTTTAGTTAAGTAGCTACCATCAATGACTTCATGGGATGGTTTGTATTTTCAAAATCGTATTTTTTTTGTCAAAAAGCATATGTATTTTTGGTATTATCAGGAGCACGTATATGATTTTCTATTTGCTACGTATTTTTCTATAGAACTATTTATGTTGAAACACAAAAAAGTAACGTTTTATCTCTTTGAAGATTTGAAGCTATTCAACGTTTGGATGCATGTGTTGTTGTGGAGAGGGCGAAAAATGCATAAAGTTGAATACACATTAATTGGGACTAAGAATATGTTTGTTCCAGCTCCCAATTATGGTAATTTTGCATGAGATTTTTTAAAGAACATTCTTAGGCCCTTACAGCTTAAATCAATGTTTAGAGTGGTTTTCATACAGTAGGTGCAACTGGGAATATTGACTGTCAATTGAGTTAGCTGGGGGAACAAAGAAAATTCAACACCAATGTCACTAATCTGAGCTTATTATGCCGACCTTTTTCTTAATAAATAAATGGTAGCAAGAAGTACATTTATAGCTTAATGTCTAAAATTTTTGAATTTAGATATAACAGACATTCTTTTTTTCTTCTATATATGTATCAGAAAGTAAATCAAATCATGATTTACTGAATTTAATTGATTGTAGCATGAATTAAAAAGGTCATTGTGTTATACGGAGTAAGTATTTATGTAATGAATTGATCCATATTACAACACTTATGAGTAAGCTTCTTATATTTAGACCCTATGGTCAAAAATAGTACCCTGTACTAAAAAGACATGTACAGTGAGGTTTTGTTAAGCAGATATAAGCAGGTACAGCCTCTTTTTTATTACACTTCGTATCAACTAGCCGCAAATGCAATTGCAAACATGTTTTCACATCTTCACCCTATGATTAAAAACAAAATTTGAAAAGTAAGTATATTGATTTTTCTTGAAGCAATAGATGCTTTAATAAAAGAGCTTTGAATTTTAAAAAACAAAACCAACACAAAGCCAGTAGCCCACGAAATAAAAGAGCTTCGAAATTTAGTCTGATGGTCTGCAAAATTAGTAAAGCCAACGCATAAAGTCTTACAAATTAGAAATTGTGTGCGATGGAAACCACCATTAAAGAAGAAAGATCGAGAGAGCTTAGCTGCATCATAACACCATTTGGAGTAGTTGAGAGATAAATTGTTAAAAATGGACTTCGTCCATATGAAAATAATGTTTAAACTCTCACTTTCCTGTATTCTAGCACTGTCAATAATATATCAGCATATATTTTAACCTATCAACATAGAAAAACATTAGTTAAATTATTATAAGTAATGTTTTCCTTTTAATTTTTTCGTTGAATAATTATGAAATAAAAAATACATATTTCGATGTAAAAATAAATAAATTTAATTAATTTTTTAAACGTTTTTTGGTTAACAAAGTTTGAACTTAGTTCAAGTAAAGTTTGATTATGGAATATTCAATTATTTGTGAAGGCTCCATGAATTAAAAATTTGTGTTTCATGTTTTTCTGGGGCTCAAGAAAACTTCAACAGTTAAAACTTCAAAAAAAATCATTTTATATATTACACATTGGTGTCATATGAAAGATCATAAAAATTTGTGAATTTTAATATACTTTTTGAAAAATTTGGATAAAAAATAAAAAGTTATACAAGTTTAAATTTTTTGGGATATTATGATGCAGGGATGACATCGGCATGACATCATCCGCACCAAAAAAGGAGCACGCGCCCGTCTTTTTTCTCTGTTTTTCTTTCTTTTTCATCCGCCCCAAAAGTCGTTATCAATTTTCTGGATAGAACTGATATTGTAATACTATCCCTGTTCTTAAATAAATGCTACATGTTGAATTATGCACTATTCACATGTTCTACTTTGGTTACATTTTATTTATTATGCATTAATATTTTTTTATGAAAAAATATTGTTAAATTTACCTCATTGTGAATTTTCAAAATCTAATCTTTTTAATTTATTACTAATACAAAATTATATATATTAATGATCAAAATTGTGTCTCGACAAGTGTGAAATGTTAATCATATATACGAACGACATATTTTTAAAAGGCTAAATGGTCAAATAGGCCCTTGAACTGACTTAAAGTGTTCAATTAACCCCTTATATAGGAGGTTCTGCCCGGCCGTCGCCAATTGGGGCGGTTCCCGGTGGAATTTTTTGATGAATTTTTTTGAGCATCTTATTCATCTCAAAAATTTCATCAAAAGTTCCACCAGGAACCGCCCCAATTGGCGACGGCCGGGCAGAACCTCCTATATAAGGGGTTAATTGAACACTTTAAGTCAGTTCAAGGGCCTATTTAACCCTTTAGCCTTTTTAAAATTTGCGCTTAAGCAATATGGTATACTTTTGGGTTGAAATATATACAAGCAAGATACCGTATAATGTTAATAAAACAAAATGTTAATAATTAGTTAATATTCAGCAATAAAAATTGAATGGATAACCATCACTTTTTTTCATTTATCAATAGCTTATTATTCTTTGAAATGGTTTGAGTTTATACAATTATACCTTTCACATTATTATAGTGGTCATGAGCATATGTTATTCCCGTTAAACAATTTTCAAAAAAAAAAATACCAGATAAGACCAGACTTGGGTACTTATAAAAATACAAAGAAACCAGACCAGTTCAGATCAGACCTGACTGACAAATTAGGATGTTTTTACTTGGACGGTAATTTGCTGGTCTGGTCAAACATTTTGATGGTTGTATAACTCTGAACTGAATTAACTTAAATTTTATTTAATATAGTTACTTAATTTTAAATAATTTGGATATTATGCATAGAGTTAAATAATATCCCGTGCATCGCACGGATACTATACTAGTTTGGTGGAACTCAGCACCCGGAATTTCACTTCCTCCGAAAAATGAGTTATATCCATTTTTTTATTACATTCATAGAGCTCATGAGGAAGACATAATCTTCAATATGTCACAAGAAGATCAATGCACTTCAAAACCATATGAATCATGGAACAAAATGCCAAAAAACTGAGAAAGGTTATGTCACGACACTTTGAGCACAACGGTTTAATTGAAATGGCATAACAGAAATTACAGACCTGAGCAATGTGCATCCTACCAGAGGGTTCAAATCCATCATAGCATATTGGCTGAGGCTTATTTGCCAACAGATTCTTTAACTCTTCGTCCTGGATACACTCTTCCCCTATGCTCCTAACAATATCAAATCTCTCCTCCAAACCCATCCTTGATTAAAAAACAATTAACGATAAATCACAAAAAACAAATAGCACTAGGAACAGTGTAACAAATATACACATAGAAAGGCAGGGGAAGAGAATTTCATTACTCGGCCTCGGAACTGCACGGGCTAGAGGATGAGGAGTGCAAGGATAGTGATCCCAAAGCATCCAACTGGGGCTCTTGATTGTCCATGGATGACTGCTTCTGCAAGCATATGATCGTGAGTTACCTGAGGTTAGAGTTGTCCGAAACTCTGAATTCAAAAATAATAATTGAGCATATTACCTGGCCCGGCTGGCTGTCCTCTATTTTGAAACCCTAGATCAGGGCCGGGCCATGTGGCGGGCTAGGGCAACATGAGCTAAGTGGTGGGCCAGGTTAGTATAGCCCATCAAATAGGGTAAACAATAGACACGCTAATTTTCTGTGTACAGTGTGACCAAGTTCCTATTTTGTTCTTTTAAGTTCAACTTCTTATAATTTTTTCACAAAAAAACTGTAGTATGGAATCCGTTAAATAAAAGAAGTAATGTATTTTGACCCCTGCATTCCAGTTTTTGTTGTAACAAATCTCCAAGGCTATTATATATTCCAAGTAGGGATAGATCCAGGTCTGTCCGGTCCTAGTTCCGAGCTGAGGCTGCCCAGTCCCTGTAAAAAATTGGCAAGCCCAAGTCCTACCTGTATAATTCCAGGTGTAGCCATGTAGGTCAATTCCAGGTACCTAGGCAGTCCAGTCTCGGACCCGGTTCCGTTTATTTTTTTTAAACGTTTTGCCCAGTTCCAAGCCTATAAAAATACCATTAGGTCCCCAAATCGTTGAACCAGAACCGGCTACCCCATACACCTGGTCGGACACCCGGGTTTTGCTCAGAACCGGAAAAACGGACCCGATCCAGTCCCGCACAGTACCAGACCCGGTTCCAGACCAGGTCCATGCCTAGTTCCAAGCACTGCTCACTTTTATAATACCATCTAGTCGATTTAGTCTATTCTGAGGTGCTACAGATGACGTTATGTTGATTCTACAAGTTTATAAATAAAAAATGTAGCCCTTTTTGTTGCTTGAAATGTCAACGCAGAACACTCCAGAAGTCTAGAACAATCTCCAAAATAACCAAGCAAAACGTCTTTAATCTGTAATAACAAAATCTAGTTTTCCGCTCTAAAGTGGAGGGTTTGAAGAAGCACATCTTTAATCTGTAATAAAAAATCTAGTTTTCCGCTCTAAAGTGGAGGGTTTGAAGACGCATATCTTATTTCCATTTGCATTACCTGGTAGCTTGGTAGCTATGGAAAAAGAAAATCACTACACTTGTATTCCACAGTAATGCTAAATTTAGAATAATTCAGTGATCCAAATTGAGAACACATACCTTTATCCTCATAAGAAGTTCCTTTGCCATGAAATCGTTCTTGAAATGATCACGCACAGGCTGTGCATAGCACATGAAAGATGTTTAAGAAAATATATATTCCTAAATGTAGGCCTGTTGTTTTCTCACTTCTAATGAAAAAACTAAACCAAATTCTTGAAAGGCACCTATCTTGGACTTCATCGTCCAAGTACACATCAAATGTTTGAAAAGATGCTAAAAATGTAACCATACGTTTGGATCTGGGAAAATGCTAGGGAAAGGAAAGAAAATGCTAAAGCATGTTATTTCTGTATGCTTGGATTACCTCAGGAAAAGCAATGGAAGATATTACAACTCCATAAGGTGACTCCATTCATATACGGATAAAAAGGTAGCTCACAAGGTAATAAAATTGTAAAACTATATGTGTCAGTGCCATTTATAATGCCACTATCAATGGTGCCAATGCAGTGTATACTGCCGATGTCACTGCCACTATCACTACTGCCACTGTTGGGTACACCGCGGATGTCACTGCCACAGTTGAACACATCGGTGCGACTAAGGCAACAAATCATTAGGACTTTTATGACGATTTGTCAGAACGTTTTTGGTAAACTGTCCGGGTAGCCGGCAGCGGTTTCAGACTTGCCCCAACAACTTATTCCAGTGATTTAAAAAAAATGATAGGAACCGGGCAGATTAGTGCTAATAATAAAAATAATACTACCTCCATCCCATATCGGTTGCCTGTTTTAATTTGACACGACTATTAATAAAGTGGTTGAAAAGTAAAAGTTGTGGTTGAGATTTGGGTAGAATAAAGTCAAATGATAAGGACCACGTAAATCTTGCCAAAAAAAGGAAATAGGACATTCATTTTAGGACAACCAAAATGGGACAAAGGGAGTAATAAATTGTACCAGTAGTATTAATAGAAGGGAAGGGAGGAATAAGGGTTAGACAGAATTTGAGTGGGAATTAGGCTAGGAGAGTGAGGCGACTTGAAGTCTTGAAGTGTCTCGAACTTGTTACTTCTCTTTCTATTTTCTGTTTACGTTGATTTCAAATTACCCTTGCAATAGGTTAAGGAATTCTCAGAACTTCATCACTATAATAGATTCAGGACAACAATGAGATATATGAAAAGGTTGTGAAGATTTTAGAAAAATGTTGGCCTGAGGTAGTGATGATGAAGGATCAAGGACCGAAGCTAAAGGTCCAGAAATCAATTTTGCACTGGGAAGGGCGAGGCACATGGATGAAGATGAGTGTCAGGTTTGTTTCCTATCACCCACCTTGATTACAAGGTGGTTGTCTAAGGGGGGAGATATTATAGGAACCGGACAATGAAGTTTCCCTCATGCCAAGAGAATAATGAGATGATCGGAGGTGAAACCAACAAATCGAAAATGTCAACAATTCTAGGCATCGGATGATCAACCACATGTTTTAATCTCCCCTGCATCACTCTTAACAGTGTTCCTGAAGTACAGTTCAACTCAGGGAACAATTTAAAACAATAAAGGTGAGAGTCCAAGGGGCTGATAGGGACCTGAATAGCCATTAGTAATAAGAATAATAGAATTATATTAAATATGTACAAAAAGGGTTTTGGGCCACGTACTAGTTAGCTTTGGGCCGGCAAAAGATGGAAATTTTATAAATAAGAGTAGGGAGTAGAATAAAGGTGGGCAGAAATTAGTTGGAATCGGGATGTAGGAGAGTGAGGCCTCTCGAAGAGCCTCGTCTGTCATTTCTGCTTTCCCGTTTCTGCAATCTTCCTCACTAACATACATTAAATTATTGTTACGAATTGAAGTTCCTATTATTGATATCAGAGCACTCGCTCCTGGAGACACCTTCCTGGAGACAGAAAGTCGGAATCGTTCATGGCCAGAGCATCGACGGAGCAGCGATTGGAGAAATTTGAACGGAAGTTGGCTGAAAGACGATCAAGGATGGTCAAGATTATGGATGAGGAACAAAAGACGGTGGTCGACAAGTTTAACCAGCTGAAAAAACAGCATCCCCCTACGGCGAGCACAATTGAGGACGGTTCGCCGTTGTCAGAATTCTGCAATCCAGGCTTTTACATCGTCGCTAGAAGATTCTTCCAGTCCGCACTCCGCAGGTTCGTTGCAAGCTGTAACTCCAAGTTTGAAAGCTTCATCGGTAGCCGATGCCTCCACTTTGCAGGTTTCCTCACTTGCCTTATCTCACAGCTCATCGTCGCTTGCCATTCCTCACCTTGCGCCAGATTCATCTGCTTCCTGAACCATCCACTTAGTCGCACCAGGCAAGGGATCGCAGGGGACTCAACCAACGATAATGAATACAGAATTAAAGACAGCTGCACCTTCAGTCCCGGAGCCAGGCTCTCTGCCGGAGCCTGAAGAGGATATGTCACAACCTACGGGAACTCTACCTGTTAATCTGGAAGATCCTTGGAAAACAAAGGTATAGCTCTTAGGAACTCGACAAAGCGACACAGAGCAGTTTGTGTGTAGTTCCCCCCCACTGAGTGAAACTGGAATGTGTGTTGTTCAATCTGTGGTGCCAGGTGGTCCAGGTAATGACTATTTAGAAACTGGTGATATTTTTTTTATATAAATGGGGAGGTGATTACATTATTTCTAAAAAAATGATGGAGATACGTGATGCCCCACCTCAGATGTACAACCGTGATGACATTTCTGGCTTATGGATGGCTAAGCCAGTTTTATCCCCAGGCTTATTTATCTTGTCGGACACAGATTCTGATAACCAAGTTCTGTTGTACCAAAGTGCTTATTGTGTTGGTGAAGCTCCAATGAATGAAACAGCTCAACAATTTAAAAATCAGTCAATAGACGGTATTACAGATAATGCAAATCAGTTATAAGTTAGTTTCAGAGAAAGAGAGCTTGTTAGCTGATGAAATTGTTCTATCTGATGGTTCCTCACAAGTACTTACACAAGATAATTTGCCTGAGACCACTACAGATAATGAGGTAATAAGATTTGTTTTGCAAGGAGGTAGTAAGATATTGTGAGGGCTTTGTGAAAAAGTCAGAAAATGACTCGGTTGATGAGTGTGTGGTTGAGCCCACTCTTGTGGAGCTGCAAGTTCAAGTGCCATCATCTGTTTATGCTGCCAAACTCGTTGCTGAACCACTGCCTTATCGTGGAGATACTGTGTCCATGGTGGGGTTGAACAAGTGCCAGATGACAACATCCATGAAGTCAATTTAATGTTTGTGTTTCTTTGACTATTCTGTCATCTGGTTGTCCAAACTATATAGCAACAGAAATGGAAGTTTTAGAGCAACCTGAAGGATTAACCCTCCAAGGTGATGACTGCAATGATATTCAGGAATTACTTGGATGGCGTGAAAACCCTAAGGTGAAGAACATGAAGATGAAGGATCAAGTATTGAAGCTAAAGGTCCAAAAAGCAGTGATGTACTGGAAAGGGAGAGGAGCCAAGATGAAGGTGATTTCCGGGGTTGTTTCCTGTCATCCACCTTGAGGACAAGGTGGTTGTTCAAGGGGGGAGATATAATAGGAACCTGAATAGCCAATAATAATAAGAATGATAGAATTATATTAAATATGTATAAAGAGGGTTTTGGGCCAAGTACTGGTTAGCTTTGGGCCGGCCCATGATGGAAATTTTATAAATAAGAGTAGGGAGTAGAATAAAGGTGGCCTCACAAAGAGCCTCGTCTGTCTTTTCTTCTTCCCCGTTTCTGCACTCTTCCTTACTAATATACGTTAAATTACTGTTGGGAATTTGGAGTTCCCATCAGGGGCTATCAAAAAAAATCCAAGGGGTAGCTTGGAGCAATTTTGTAGATGTTAGAGGGACAATAATAAACTATAATAAACTTGACGAGCTTTTGAAGTTAGTCGCATTTTTTGAAAAGCAAAACTAGTTACATTAATGTCATTAAAAAGGGTAGAACTCATACTCCCCCTCCGTCCCTTGAACAAATATTATACGTGAGTATGTTTTTATTGAGTTTGAAATAATATTTCAATTTTTTAACACTTTCTTCCCTTCCAAAAATCTCTAATATTTCCCTAGCTATTTTTTCCCCAAATATTTCCAAACAGTGGTAAAAAGCGTGTGTACCTGCAGGATCTTGTTCAGAGCTTTTGAGAGAGCGGGTTTAAGGTCAGCAGGATGCAAGCTACCACATTCATAGTCAGTAACAAGTTCCTCGAAAGTCGAGAAGGTCCTGCACGTGAATAATAAGTTAATAACAAGTGATGCGAGGGTGATAATCACTTCTCATAAAGTTCTAACTGGACCAGCAGAGCAAGCTTTTCAAATATTAATGAAAATTAAGCTAAAGTAAAGTACTATTACGATGAAACCTAAAACACTTTCGATGGCAAAACAACCAACATGTCTTACTTGTTACCACCATTCTCTAGACTTCGCTCCACCTTGAACTCATTAAATAAGGGAAAGATGATGTACTTGATGTATTCTAGACACGGATTTTTCTCTACAACCTTGGGAGGGCAGAAAGCCTTCTCTATTTTGAGATTCACATCTGCCTATAACATCAAAAAAAAAATAAAAAGACCAAATGTCTGATTTGAGTAGTCAATGACATCCAACTGTGTTGATAGAATCAATGGCATCAACTATGCACTACCTCTTCATCTTCCATGAAAATGGAGGATGACGGATCACTTTTGGACATCTTCTCTTGACCCTTCTGCAAGCCAGGCAACATATCTGCATGCCAAAATATCAGTGAAGGGAAAAAATAAAGCTCCCAAACAAATTCCACATTTACAAAATTGTTACTACCTCTGTCCCTTAAAACTTTGCCAAAGTTGACCGGCATGTAGAATAATAAAGTAAAAACCGTGTGGTTGAGGTTTGTGCAGAGGAGAGAGAAATAACAGAAACCACAAAGTAATTGATTAAAAGGGAAAGTGGCAAAGTTTTTTGGGACGTCCCAAAAAGGAAATATGACAAAGTTTTAAGGGACGGAGGGAGTATTATTCATGTCCCAAAAAAATCAATTTATACAGGCACAAAATTCAAGAAAATGAAAACTGCATTCATAAAAGGGAGAAAAATAATCTAAACAACATTTTTAGTTGGAGAAGAGAAAATGAGGGATAATTTTGGACATGCAGGAAAAGGAATGTGAAAGTCTTTAGGGACAGAAGGTGTATTGATTTTGAATTTGAACAAAAAGGATGTGGAAGTATACGATGAGACAAAATGATGGGCTTGTTTTTCCTCTTTATATCTTCACAGTATTCTCTTGCAAGCACATTCACTTTTCGCTGGTCCATTCCCAATTGACAGATATCAGCCTGCTAGGAAAAAGGTATCAGTGAGTTGCACACACAATATATTCAAGGATGTATGCATCTAAATGTGAAAATGAGAAAAACATTGGGGTTCTGTCCATAAAAGGGGCAGCCGGGTGCATGAAGTCACTCTTGCGAGGCGAGGGTATAGGGAAGGGTCCGACCACAAGGGTGTATAAGGGGCCTTCCCCTGTCAAATAATTTACAAGAGACCACTCTCAAGACTTGAACCCGCACATCAACACCTTTGTGTTCAGTTTAAGCCCAAAATTTAACACACATGGTACTAGTCTTTAATACGGAAATGACCTTGCTATGGAGACGTTGCATCCAAATACACTAAACAATGTCCAGAGCCAATAAATAAATAAATTAAATTAAATAATAAATAAATAAATAAATAAATAAATAAAATAAATAAATAAATAAATAAAAAATAAACAATAAATAAATAAATAAATAAATAAATAAATAAATAAATAAATAAATAAATAAATAAATAAATAAATAAATAAATAAATAAATAAATAAATAAATAAATAAATAAATAAATAAATAAATAAATAAATAAATAAATAAATAAATAAATAAATAAATAAATAAATAAATAAATAAATAAATAAATCAATAAATAAATAAATAAATCAATAAATAAATAAATAAATAAATAAATAAATAAATAAATAAATAAATAAATAAATAAATAAATAAATAAATAAATAAATAAATAAATAAATAAATAAATAAATAAATAAATAAATAAATAAATAAATAAGAGCTGTAATAGCAATAGAACAGAGGAATACTTAACAATTTTTCAGCATTATCAGTATCCAGGCCTAGTGACAAATTGGTATATAAAAAAACAACTTGAGTCATATTGGTAAAAAAAGAAGACCTAGTGACAAATTGGTCAATTTTTTGTGAGCGATAAACTATTGATCCTCGACTTTAGAATTCCCGACATTTCATATTCTAAGTATTGTGAAGTTGACATTTGCAATCTTTTTACTTTGATTTTGTTATCAAAAGTGAAGGTTTTTGAGCATATTACTTGTCTGCTAGCTCATAACCGATTGAATCAACAGATTGATATTAGCGGATACATTAGCTTTTTTAACTGACCACTTTCATTATCGGTTTGAAATAAAATGTTAGTAACTTCGAATTTGCAATTAGTGTTTCAAAATTAAAATGACAATAAAAAATAAATTTAAAAGTTTATATATTTAAATTAATTTTATTTCTTATTATTTTTAATAAGTTTTGGAAAAAGTTTTAAAAATTATGTTTACGTTTATTTTAAAATTTAAATAGTTACTAACAATATCATTTTAAAGATATTTACATTAATGCAAGCACACAAATATAAATTCATATACTTTTAGTAATAATACTTTTAATATGACTATTTATTAGTTTTTTTAAGTCTACTCCATTTAAAAAATCTACTCCAGAATTCTACTCCATATGACTATTTATTACGAGTAGTTTTTTTAAAAACAATTACTCCATGGTTATTTAAAATAAATGTAAATATAATTTTCAAAACCTTTTCAAAGACTTTTTAAAAATAAAATATATAACGTTAAAATAAAATTATACTTTTAAATTCATATCTTTAATGGTCATTAGTCATTTTACGTTTTAACATTTAATCGCAAACAATTAAGTTACTAACATTTTATTTCAAACGCTAATGAAAACGGTTAGTTATAAAAGCTAATGGAATCCGTTATTATCGATATGCTGATTCAACCGGCTATTAGCTACCAGATAAATGCTACTATCAAACACAATCGTTGATATTTTTAGACTTCCACTTTTGATGATGGAATCAAAGTAAAAGGACTGAAAATGTCAATTTTTAAATACTTAGAATATGAAAGGTCGAGAATTCTAAAGTCGAGGATCAAAAGTTTATCATTAACAAAAAATTTACCAATTTGTCACTAAGGCTTCTTTTTTTTACCAATATGTCTTGAGTGGTTTTTTTTACCAATCTGTCCAATGACCCTCTTTTTTTTACCAATTTGGTAATTTGGCCTCGGTATTCATGCCATGTCCAGCACCAACTCTTTAACTACATGTCTATTGGTCTACTGTCTATATACACTATGAATAGTTTAAGGCAAGGTAGTTAAAAGCAAGCGCCTGAGTGCTTAAGGGCACCAGGTGAGGCGCACCAGGTGAGGCGCAACAGGTTGTGCACTTTAGGAGTTGCCCGGCGTAGCAACCTAACAGGCACAGAAAATGTGCACGAAGTGCAAAAGGCGCACGGTCTGATGTAAGCGACACACATATTTGGCCAAATGACAACATTGACTATTTAGGTATGGCACACATATATAAAGATACTTTTCATATGCGTAAAAATTATGCAAACTATCACGGTGATCAAAATATATGAATAAATAAATAACTTTTGTCATAAGAATTCAGGCAAAAAGATAAATGACTTTAACATCAACAAAGATTACCTTGAGGAAAAATATGTCTGCACACTGCATGCATGGGTAGAATATTTGGGCAGCACTAGCAGTCAATACATTTAGTTCAGAGCGACCCATTATTTGACAGCATCTGACAATTACAAGGAAGGAGAAATCAAGACACTTTGCAGCGACTGTTTTCCTTTTAAAGGAAGGAGATGAGTGTTCACTAACCTCGATATTCTACGAAGCGTATTTCTCCGTGCAATGTCAATAACAATTGGCCAGTACTCATCAGCTCTAGAATTGATCTCTTCAGAGGACCATAAAAACTCAACTTTGTTACTCTCCAGATTCATTCCCGCGTCTTTCCATATCTCAATCAGATACTGACCAACAGCTTGAATTTTCTTTAAGTCCCCACCCATCTTGTTGTTTAGTTGGGCAAACCAATCTGCAATCCATATCTTTACTTTGCAGCCAGAAGATACCAACTTGTTAACGTTAATTGTCTTCATAACACCCTGTTCATGGAGGATTGGATAAAGTCCAGAGAAAGACACACAGAACCACACATCCAACCACATTTTATTGATGGTCTAGATATTATTGCTTTTTACTGATGATCTTTCAAACACAGAGCAGCATGTGGAATTGTGGAAATTGTGGAAGAAAAAAGAACAAGTTAATCACTATCTGTGTTCAAAATCCTCTGGGGACCAGTAGGCAGTGGACCGGTGCTTATGAGTTATGACTTTTTGTGGGGCCCAGATGGCTAGATGCTGACTAGAATCAAAGCCTATTTGAAGTAATTTTTTGTTTGAAGTCTTTATATAATCAATTTAAATATATTAAACCTTCAAACAAAGTAACATATGGGGCCTATTCAGCCCCTACGATTGAGGCATTGAATTTCTCGTTTTGCCTTTTTTTCATAAATAGAGCCTACTAAACAAATACTCCATCTGTCCCATTTAGTTTGTCCTGTCTTTCTTTTTTAAGCCATCCAAAATGTTTATTTATGCCAAATTTGGGCATGGTTTGTGGCTTAATCATGCTTACATTTAAAGATTTAATATCAACCACAATATCCAACTATTCCTTATAATTTGTGCCAAACTCCATGTCCCAAACTAAATGGGACGGAGGTGGTATTTTCATACATTCATATACACTAATATATACAAAGTACAAAACAAAATAGGTATTATCGATCAAAACATTCGGTAATTAAGTGGTTTCGTGAAATTAATTGTTTTGTTTTTCTAATATTTAATTTCTTTGCTTTAAGCTTTCGTTTTCATAAAGGTCCCCCTTTACCTACGGTGTTGAAGGTTTGTGGCAATTGCTGGAATAGAACTCAAAGTTCACACGGGTTTTGATGCATGCTGCCATATAATATTACGGAAAGAAAAAGAAGAGCATCATCATCATCATCACCCTAGTGCCGCAAAGGATCCCACCTTCGGTGGGGTAAGGGGGGTCGGATGTACGCAGTCTTATCCTTGTACTAAAGCACAAAGAGACTATTTCTGGATGATCCATAGTGCAAATCGCGTTGAAAATTGCATGGACTGACTGTTGCTTTATAACAAAGAAACGCAGACAATTCAGTGAGCCATTTTGCTTTATTACATCATATTCTCAAGACAAAAAATAGTGAGCCTTTGGCTCCATTACAAATGATGGAAAATAAAAATAAAAAAGCAATCAAGCAAAATATTGAGGAGTAATAGTTGATTGATTATGTTCTGATTTGATTTCAGAAAGTGATTTTCTAGGACTTCCCTTTCCTTTTTTTGGCATTCATATGCATGTAATCTCTCTTATAAAAGGGAGCTTTCTAATGATAATAAAGTATTCAAGAAAAACTAAGAAGAATCAAGGAGAAGAAAAAATTCCCAAATTCCAAAGGAGAAGTAAAACGTTGTAAAATTTCACCTCCCCTTCCCATCACTTACGTAGTATGTTGCATTCCAGCGACGCAAAGAACCCCGGTACATAACATTATGATTCTGTTTTTGGAGCCATGGGAAATTACACGCTTTCTGCTGATGACTACACACTCCTCACTGAGATACTAAAGGAGCAACAGAAGTTGACAAGCCAAGGAATTTTTACAAGATGCAAAATGGAGTGCGGAGGTGCAACTAGCATTGCAGGCAGTAAGAGATTCAGTTGAGAGTTGAGACACTTTCTAACCAGCTTGACCACATATCCTAATCAGTGGAGACAGCTGTAGAAGCACCCCCATCAGTAGACGCTTCATATCCTAGAGTGACTCTCAACCACTACAACTCATCATGCCAGCACTGTCTATGACACCTAAAACTAAGACTGCCAGGTACATAATAATTAACAAGATTACCCTTTAACACTCAATCAACAGGCAAATCTCCCAAATCATGTGTCTTGAATTCCTGTCTCCTAGAGCTTGACTAATTTGGCATTTAATTGCCACTTGCCCAAGCATCACTAATGCACTTATGCACTATGCCCTGGGAGAGGGGTGGCTATCCAGCATTAGGAACCAGGTTTATAGGGTGAAAACTAAGACTCCAAATCCTGGCGGCAGATTGTGTGGAGATCAAGGCAAGCTGCACTCCTACTCTCAGTTGCAGCAGATAAGTTGAAGAATAACTCTCAAATCTAAAATTCATGAAGATCAAAAGATTCACGACTGAAGGATAAATCGAATAAAGATTATTGTTTTAATAATAATACCCCGGTTTGTATAATCGGGTTTACTCGATATTAGGGCTTGTTTATTCGAATTAAGGCTTAGTTTCTTTCAAACAGATGCAAGAAACCTAATATTCCAACATGAAGACGGTTGCCTTTTTCATCCGATGCGCATATGATGTATTGATGTCATGTGCTAATTGGGCATTGACAAATTTAAAATGACCATACCTTATGACAGAAATCATTTTGAATACATATCTACACACAGATATAATAAGTACAACTTTACTAATATTAGAGCTACTGCAAAAACAGATTTAATATTTGGTGGAACTCGGCAGCCGGTAATTCACTTCCTCCAAATAAATGAGTTATATCCATTGTTCAATTACATTCATAGAGCTCATGAGGAAGACACAATCTTCAAAATGTCGCAAGAAGATCAATGCACTTCAAAACCATATTGATCATGGAAACAAAATGCCAAAAATCTGAGAAAGGTTATGTCGCGACACTTTGAGCACAACGGTTTAATTGCAATGGCATAATAGAAATTACAGACCTGAGCAATGTGCATCCGACCAGAGGGTTCAAATCCATCATAGCATATTGGTTGAGGCTTATTCGCCAACAGATTCTTTAACTCTTCGTCCTGGATACACTCTTCCCCTATGCTCCTAACAATGTCAAATCTCTCCTCCAAACTCATCCTTGATTAAAAAACAACTAACAATAAATCACAAAAAGCCAATAGCACTAGGAATAGTGGAACAAATATACACGTAGAAGGAGCAGGGGGAGAGAATTTCATTACTCGGGCTCGGAATTGCAGGGGCTAGAGGATGAGGAGTGCAAGGATAGTGATCCCAAAGCATCCAACTGGGACTCTTGATTGTCCATGCAGTGGGAGTTCTGCAAAATAAGGTACAACTCTAACCATGACGACAACCATACCTATTTAGTGTTCCCCAGTAACAAAACTAAAGCTTTTTACAACTTATCCCCACCAATGGAGGGGAAAAAACATGCTCGGCCTATCACTTTATGGATTGAACTAATAGTGTCTACTTTTTCACTCCAACAACTCTGCAAAACTTCTCTATAGAGTAAGCAATAAAAAACTGTGGGTAAGATAAAAGCTGGACCGGCTAAGATAACTGCTCCCGCCTGATGTCACAATGACATCATCATTGAGTCATTAAAATTCGGTTCTTCTCCATATTAAGGAGAAACTGTGGGCGTATTGGTTGGTATTAAACCACAGCTTAAGAAGGCACTTATTAATAATCGACTAACCTCAAACGGTCGGTCGGGATGTTAGATGAACGGCGTGTAAGCTGCGTCCGACTAAGGAGGGCAAGGAGAAGCTGAAAACTGAGAGGGCTATATAGCATCCGACCGTCTGGCGGTAGAGATGAGCGCGCGGTAGAGAATGGACTGGATGAAACATTTGGGGCTTTGGGCCGAAAACTTTAAATCATTTTATTTGGTAGATTTTAAATTAAACTCCTCCCGCTTTTAAACATGATGAATAGTAATATTTTAAATTTTATTTAAGTAATAAGTTTTATTTAAACATTTTTTATCCTTGCCTTTTTTATATTTTATATTGTACTATCTCCATCCCGAATTATAAGGCACTTTACGGTTTACGATGTTTGACCGATGATAAAGTAAATTCATCCATGTCAACACTCAAATTATTGTTTGAAAATAAAATTTACATATTCAAAAACTACAATAAAATTGTTACACAACCTGCAAAAAATAATTCAAATTTCATAAAATTTTGATATATAAAGTAAGAGATTAAGAGTGAATTGTGTTGACCAAGTGAATAGGAAAAAAATCTTATAAAATGGGACTGAGGGAGTAGGATAATGTTTGCGATTCTTTCTCCTCTAAAAAAGTGACATTTTAAAATGATTTTGAAAAATGTATTATCTCCGTTCCTCTAATATTGGAACGGATGGGGATGATGTGGTTTTTAAGAAAAGTAGAATTATGTAGTTGATAATAAATTGATAAAGTAGAATAAAGTAAGAATGAATTAGAATCACACAAATGTTACCAAATATGTTGTGGGACAATAATAGGCGAACATTAAAAAATAGAAAAATGAGACAATTATAGGGGGGCGGAGGAAGTATTTAATAGTAAATGTTCATAATGTTTTAGAAAAAAAATGTTTTAAAAAGTAAAGTTGATAGTGTTTGATAAAATATGTGCTTTTTGTGTGATAGAAAAATTAAAAAAAAAACAATTTCCAGTTTTTAGCTTTAAGTGTTTAATTTAGTAAAATTTGTCACTTGAAAACACTCATTTCAGGTTTTTTCTCAAAAGCTAAAAATCATTTTATTTAATTGTTTGCAAACATACTTTAAGTAATTTGTAGCTTTCCAATTTTATTTAAAAATAAGTAGTTTCTGCTAATTTTTTCTCTTCCGTGCAAACTTTAATCATATAAATTTTACTTTATTATTTCTCGTGCTGGTAAACCTGAGCAAGTTTTAAAAAAGTAGAATTTTTAGTACTTGTTGGAGTATATTACCCCGACCTACTACTGTTCAGAGGCCCAAGACATCATCCCGATATGAAACCCAGTCGGCGAAACCCATTTGGGCTCCTCGGGCCCATTTAGAGCCATCTAAGGCCCACTCGGCCTACTTGGGCCTGTTTCGGCCCATCAAGGCCTTTCGGACCCATTAGAATAGGGAACCCTCCCCCCTTGCCTATAAATAGGAAGCTTGGCTTCCAGAAAAGGAACCTCTTTTTCGCTCTCTGCTTCTTTCTTCCTTTAAATATTAGTTTAGCGGCCTTCTTCAACCTCCACTAATGGAGTGAAAAATATGTACTATGTAATTTGTGAGAAGAACATATTAATGAGAAGGAGTGGACTTAGACGTTAGCCTAAAAAATCTTGTGGTTTTCTCCCTTTCCGGATGTCCACGTAAAAATAGGCAGTTCATACACTTTTATATATTTATTCACTTTTATACCAAATTCATTGTCCTTAATATCCAAAGTTTATGTTGGACTTTCGGATCTACAGGACTAAAACTCAACAGTACTCATTTTGTAATGTTGAAATCGGTTAAATGAGTTGAATCTATTGAAACTTATGAAGTCCTTAACGAACACCACTTTCATCTAGAATTTCATAAGTTTCAATGATAAATAAAGAAAAGGGAAAAGGGGCAAATAAGCCCTCGAACTAATCAAAAAAGTGCAAATAAGCCCTTTTGCAGGAGGTTCTGTCCGATCATCATCATTTGGGGAGGTTCTCGGTGTAATTTTTTGATGAATTTTTTTGAGCATCTTCTTCATTAAGTCTAGTTTAGCCATACCGAATATCAGCTAAAAATTCAACCGGGAAGACACTCAAATGATTTTCGGAAATATACTGTGTTGTTTAACTGCGCAGTTATCTTCAAAAATTCATTTGACTGTCTTCCCGGTTGAATTTTTAGCTGAAATTCAGTAGGACTAAATTAGACTTAAAGAATAAGATTCTCGAAAAAATTCATCAAAAAATTCCACTGTGAACCTCCCCAAATGACGATGACCGGACGGAACCTCCTACAAAAGGGCTTATTTGCACTTTTTTTATTAGTTCGAGGGCTTATTTGCCCCTTTTCCCTAAAGAAAAAAAACTATAAAAAACAAAATTCTACAATAATCTTATACAGTAACTACAGTACAAAAGTAACTTAAAACACACTTATGTTTTATTATATAATTTAACGCGCAAAATCAAAAGTTATGTGTCTGATAAAAAAATGACAGATGAGCTGAATATACTAATTACCAAACGGACTCTTAATAGCTTTAAACTGGAAAGTGAATATTAAAATTAATAATAAAATTGTAAAACTAATACTCCCTCCGGATCTTTTTAAACTTCAGTGTTTGACTTCACACTTATTAAGGAAATAAAGTTGACTTTACTGTAGAGTACACTGTTGAGACACTGTTTGGCACTGTTGAGACACTGTTTGGCACTGTTTAGCACTGTTTTGATGTAGATTTCTTTGCCAAATAAGGAAATAAGGAAGTGTGAAGTTTATTTTGGACCGTCCCAAAAAGGAAAGTGTGAAGTTTATTTAGAACCGGAGGGAGTACATTTATATTTTATAAGCTAATCTAAAGTTTAACGAACGTGTAAAATTCACTTACATTGATAAGCATTGAAATACTTAGAAAAATCTTAAATTTTTAGCCACAATTTATTATTTTATTATATATAACATATTTTATTAATCTTAAACTTTAATGTTTATTGTAACTATCACTTGCTTATATCAATTGTTGTTTATCAAAAATATTGTATCGTGGGTATTCATTTATTTTAATAAAAAAATCTCTAATTGAATTTCAATGCCATTCAAAAAAATGGAACATGTGAAAACAAACTGTGTAAGGTTGGAAAAACATTTAAAGATGAAAAAATCTTTAAATGTTATAGACACAATTTATTATTTTATATATGTCATATTTTATTAATCTTAAACTTTAATGTTCATTGTAACTATCACTTGCTTATATCAATTGTTGTTTTATCAAAAATATTGTATCGTAGGTATTCATTTATTTTAATAAAAAAATCTCTAATTGAATTTCAATGCCATTAAAAAAATTGAACATGTGAAAACAAACTGTGTAAGGTTGGAAAAACATTTAAAGATTCCACTATCATGTGTTCAATTGACGATGAATAATGATCATGCTGCATTTTTTCGCAATGCTACTAGTAAATGATATATTACATCTTCTCAATATCAATATATAAATTTCATGTGATATGGGATAGAATAATTTGCAAAATATTTATAAATAAATAAAAAAATGTCTTCCAACAACTTCTCCTTCACACGATACGACTCTTATGAATGTTATGAATTCGATTATAACATAAAGGTTCATAAGCCAAAGAGTGTCTTCACTCTCTCTTCTCATAATCCTACTATTTCAAATGGTGTTTTCTCATTCTAATGAGATGTGTACTCCTCAAGTTACATACCTAAATTTCAAAATTTAATTATTTTTCACAACAATACATTATTGTTTAGACATTTCGAGCCCGTTTGGTAGCACCAAAATTGGCTGTTTTGGCTGATTCTGCTGAAATTTATGATATTCTGGCTGGAGTGGCTGTTTTGGCTGATTCTGCTGATTTAAGAAAAAAATATTTTAAAAATATATTTTATTAATAAATTAAAGAAAAAATTATATGTAAAAATAGCTAAAATGGTCCTCTACAGTAACTTCAGCCAATACAGCCAGAAAAGTAACTTCAACCTTACTTTTTCGGCTTATTACACAATTCAGCGCGCGAAAGTAAAAGTTACGTGTTTGGTGAAAAAGCTGGCTGATAAGCCTGATAAGCCGAAAACAGAGTTCTCCAAACGGGCTCTTCATATTTGAATTTGGGGCATTCATCTTACAAGCATCGAGCTACGTTTTGGTATGATAAAAGGTTTAGGTCCTACTGTAAATTAAAAAATATAACTTGAAGTACTCTTTATATTGTGTTCAAAGTAAAATAACGCTTTTCAAATTATATGGACAAAAGTATCATTAACACCATTAATGGTATAGGAGCATCTCCAACGGTTGGCTAATTGCCCTCATAGTTAAACAACCACATAAGTTTTTGTAGCAAAATTGAAATATACTCCAATGGTTAGTTATAACCTTTTTTTCTTCATTTATTATTTATAATGTTATATTTAATATTCTCCTTGCTCAAGCTAGTGGCTCATTTGGGCTAATTAGTTTTCTCAAGCAAAAGGGAGAGCAATGCTCCAATGTTAAGCTAGTAGCTTCAAAATTGCAAGTAAGTCCTTAGAAGTAATCATTGGTGATGCTTTAAGAGATTGATGTCATAGAAGAGTAAAGTACCTAACTTTGCACAGTGATACGTTTATGATACTACAAATGTGATAATCAATCGAATAAGCTTTTACTCCGTATTAAGTAAGTGTTCTCATTATTAAATTAAAAGTACTAAAGATGAAATTATAGATGGACTTGGAGTTACTATAGATGAAATTATTTTACCTTTTCCCCCATATCATTTCCCCTATTACCTTAATAAAATATTCTACTTATTTCAAATATAATGTTTCCATAATTTAGCAAATTCTATCCAAAACGTTATCAATTTCAGCATATTCAGTCAATTTTAGTGTTATCAAATGAGTCTACGTGTTTTCAATTTCTTTCCATTTTTTATGACAGGTACTCTCTCGTTGAATGATATCATTTTAGTAATTTTCCATACCACTTTTCCTTATTTTCTTAATGAAATATATTTTAAATAAAATTTATCCATAATTCAGCATAATCAACCAATCCAGTCGTCCCACGTAAAACTTCATCAATTACAATAGATTGAGCCAATTCATCCATTTTTGGTGTTACCAAACAGACTCTACGTGTTTTCAATTTCTTTCCATTTTGTCT